CCCCATCCTGCACAAAGTTTAAAGGCGCATCCCTTTGTCCAGAAAAAATATCTCGCCACGCGATGTATTGAAATGCATTTACAGTTATGTCGCGAAATGCTTTGAAATACATTTCGCGACGCTCATGCATTGAATTTCGAGGGCGCGGAAATGCATTTCAATACATATTTTCGCTACATGAATAACCCCATAACGAATGGATTACGATGTTTATGGAAAAATTTCAGAAGCTCGCTCCATCAGCCATCAGATCAACTATATTTGTCCCTCCAGCAGCAGATTGCAATTGACGAGTCGTCTGATGAAGAATTGTCAGACGATACGTCTGATGGGGAATTTTTCTACGAGTCGTCGGATGAAACATTTTCCGAGATGTCGTCGTCGGACGAAGAATTGTACGACGAGGAGAGCGTTGTTTCCAATGAGGTAATCTGGAACCAGTTGAACAACCAATTTTAATGTTCTAGTTTTCAGAACGGACTAGAACATGCCATTCCGGAAGACCTAATCTCGATTTCCAGTGAGGATGAGGAAGTGCCAGAGGATCCAAAACCATCAACGAGCAACGGTAACTAATTCGGAAGGAGTACTAGGAATGAGAACTCGGGGATTGAGAACTGTTATATTGGAGAACTTTTACAAACAATAACTCGTATAGAAAATAACTGGATGGAATCTGAACTGCTAAAAATGAGAATTCGACTATCTGAATATGTTTTTTTTCGAAAAATTTGGAAAGTTTTTAGAGAACTATATGGGGTTGGAAAACATTTTCCCCGAATTGCTGAACATTAAACTACATACGAGTAGTTTGAAAGGAGTTCTCTTGTTCTGATTTGTAGCCGTTCTGATTCCTCTCTGTTCTTTTTTATCCTTCTTCTTAATTGTAGCATTTCTCATACTTGGCCGTTTTTCGAATATGGCAGATTTCATTCTTTTAGTTCTCATTCGTTCTCCTTTTCCCCTATATATTATTTTCCAATCAATCATTTTAAATAACTACCAATACTGTAACTTTTATTTGAACATTGTCCCTATTCTATATGTATTGTAATTCTTTTTAATGTATGAGGGAATGCATAAAATTCTGTGTCGACAACGGTGACGATCATTCCGTTTGATGATGTTTTTATGCTTTTCAGTCTGGGAATCTTTTTTTCAAAGATTTTGAACGGCATCAAGAGATTACCAATAATATTTGGTTTGTAACGGAGAAGATCAAAACGAAAACGATATTTTCCAAGAAGTCATTAAAGAAAAAGCACCTTCTTTTGTAGGAAATTTATTTGAGAAAAAAAGAGTTTTAGGTTTTAACTTTTAGCCTATTACAACATTTTCAGTTATCGAGTTTTAGATTTATGATCTAAGCTTATTCAGAGATCTCAAATTAAAAGTCTTCGTACACAATTATGTTCTGAATCAGAGAGAAAAAAGAAGAGACAAGGAAGACGGAAGCCCAGTATTTATTAGTTTTAAAAACAAAACAACAAAAAAACTTCCAGCTCAATTTCTGATTCAGTTGTCCTCCATTTCTCTTCTCCCAGTCGACGGTAACTTGAAACCAGACATTGTTTTTTTTTTTGAGAAAGAACTAAAGTCTTTTTTGAGAACTTTTCCTTTTAATTACTTCGGAAAAAGATTCAACCATAAACATCAAATTAAAATTCCGTCATATCACCAGAAATGAGCATTCATTTTCTAAAGGGTGTCTGGGCGAGATTCCGAATATGGCATTTCCTGCGATCTTCCATTTATGCATTTGATATTTCTGTCAGGAAATTTCGTTAGGATGATACTTTCGAATTCTTTGAACTCTTTGGAACTTAGCGTTAATGCACTTAGGATCAGAAAACTAATTCTATAATCTGACACGAAATTTTTATGAAAGTGACATGTAGTCTTATAACTAACAGACTACATCGAAACAATTTTCAGTGAAAGGGGGGCTCCGGGCAAAATTTTTTATTGCACTAAAATTAGTAGAAATGTTATGTATTCTCCTAATGTAATCGCGAAAAAAAAATTCGAAAAAAAATCCGAAATCCCCGAAAAAAAATCCGAAAATAAGGAAAAATCCGAAAATAAGGGAAAATCCGGAAGAATTGCAATATGAAAAAGGCGTCCCGCCACCGTGGCCGACGTTTCTCATTGCGCGGGAACTCAAATCCTCGTCCCTAGTCGCCATCTTTGTTTAATTTTCAACGGTGTTTTCCAGGGATTTAGGATTTTTTCAAAATTTTTCCGTAATAATATTAGGAAAATAGATAAGTTTTCAAACATTTCAGTCTAATAAAATATTTTATTAGAATCTTTCTTTAAAGTTAAATTATTTATTCTAAATATTAATTCTTTTAACATTCAATCTGAAAACAACAAAAAGGAGAATAGGATAACGTCATGAATATTCTTAAAAAAGGTTCCTCTTTTCACCCAAATTAAGGATAAACAAACAGAACGAGGTTCTGATTTTCGCTCCTTTTCTTCAAGTAGAATGTTCACTCGAGCATACTTTTTATTCTTGAATTATCAGTTTATCACCCTTCTTGACTCTGCAAACATTGGCTTTATCCAATAAGACTCTTGCCGCCGGAAATACCATCTTGAGAGAATTTCAACATCTTATGAATGAAGTTTATGTTTTGAGCAAGGAGTCGTCTAAATCTATTTTTGATAACTCCAATTGTTTTTCTCATTGGAAGTACATTTGAATGACAGGTTTCAATGAAACAACTTTTCATCAATCCCATATTTTTCATTTCATCCGTCCGGAAGTGGAAAATATTAATTCGAAAACCTTTTCTTTTCCTCAGTTTTATTGAATACTTCACACGTTTTGAATCTATCTCGTCGGCATACAATTTTCCCAGTATTTTTCTTCTTCATCTGTTTCTCTGACATCTTCTTCATTTTCTATTACGTCTTCCCTTCAGACTTTATTTCGTGAATATGAATTTCCAGAACGAGACGATGCCTCTCTATTTTCGAATGTTACCCGTTTTACAAGCATATACAGTCATTGTTTGTTGTATTGGACTCTTTGGGAACATCAATCTTATTGTGGCCACGTGTAGGCATAAGTCTTTGAGAACAAAATTGGGTGAGCATTTTCTTTATTTTTGTGAATTTTCACTGAATATTTTTCAGGTTGCCTATTAATGATTTCCACAATATCTCATACAATATGTTTGGTTTCTGAATTAATTTCAGTCAAATTAAAATTGAGGTATTTCTTATTTCGTGATTCTTTGATGTTTAATGATTTAAAGATTCACCCAAACCCACAGAGACGAATGTTTTCGGTTTGTAGTTGTCTACATGTTCGCAGTTTTATTTCAATCTACACTGTTTTTAATGATGGTATTGATCTATTGCTAGCTGTTGTAATGCCCATAAGGTAAGGCATGTTATTATAGATTTTCAGTCAGGTGAAGTGAAAATTGTACATCACATGCTCTGGTTATCAGAAGGATACAAAACGAATTCGATTGTTTCACATATTTATCCATTATTCTGGTACTATAAATTCGGAGCTGTAAAAGAGAATCGCCGGTGGCCGCGGACGAAGGTCCCACAACGACAACTACAGTAATCTAAAAATACGTTTATTTTCCGGAATTATGGTCTTATTTTTTAAAGGCGGTCTTTAATCTATTTTCACACAAAAAAATACTCACCCATTTTTGTACGAAGAGTTTTATGACGACATGTGGCTATAATCAAATTTGCGTTGCCGAAAAGGCCTATGAGACATAATACTACTGTGTAGATCTGAAGAGCGAGTGTCAAGTCTTGATAATTGATTGACATCTGAAAGAAGGGAGCATATGATGTAGTGAAGAATATTCAGAAATCATGTGAGAAAGAGAGATTCTGAGACATCATTCGTACATCTTACATAAAA